GGGAGGCGGAGCTTGCAGTGAGCCGAGATCGCGCCACTGCACTCCAGCCTGGGCAACAGAGTGAGACTCCGTCTCAAAAAAAAACAAAAAACAAAAAACAAAAAACAAAAAACACGCATTAATCAGTTAATAAAGAGCCCTTCAATAATAACAGCAATCACTTCCCATTATGACAAAAACACATTCTGAGTGCTCTCAACAGTGAAGACTCACTTCCAAATCCATCAATCCTCTGCCGCCCAGACTTTAAAACTGTTACCCAAGGTTGGCAACCAGATTTTCCTCTACTGCACCCATTTAATGGGCCAAATTTCACCTGCTACAGACCCAGAAGGCAAGACCTAAAAGGTGTACTCTGCTGGGGCTGTCCTGGGGACAGACTGGTCTCTCGTCTCACTGCCAAAAACATCTATCACCAAAAAGCCAGGATTTCACTCTCTCATTTATGCTCTTCAGTAAGACTCCCCCTATCACAAAGTACAATTCCAGATTCACCCTGGGAATGGAGTCACTTAGCTTACACCACAGCCCGCGGGTACGTGAGTCGCCACAGCCGGCTCAGTAACCCCATCCCAGTCAGGGCCACGAGGCTCAAGTTGATGTCGGCCGTCACCACTATAGGGCGCTTCAAAAATCCCCACATCTTGTAGAAAAGTGGGCTCAGGCAGATGCCCTAGAAAAGAAGGGAGAAGCCGTGGTCAATGAGGGCTCACGAGAAGCTGCAAAAGGAATCCCCAGCCACCTGGCTCCCAGACGCGCGCTGAGAGAACCACAGCACAGCCGGGCTGCTAAGAAAGGCCTCAGTTCCTGGAGCCTTGGTTCAGGTAGACATGTGGGGTGAGGGGCACTAGCAGTGAACTCGGGCGGGAATTCAGGGGATCTCAGGACTGGACATTCACTCCTGTCAACAACTCATTCCATAAAACCTGCTGAGCACGTCTTGGGAGCGAGAACACCGCTAAGGAATGCCAGGGTTTCTCCCCTCCCTCCCCGACGACCAGGAGCCCACACCACAGCTCTCTGACCCTGCGCAGCTCCTGGGTGCCATCTCAGCTGCTCGGCCCAGGGACCCCAACCTGGCCGAGCCTCGAGGCCTCCTTATCTCTCCTCAAGGATGCATCTGCCCCCAGTGCCTCCCTGCCTTCTCTTCCAGCGGCACATCATCCCCAGGTGCTCCCTTTCTCGCCTGAAGGGTGCATTTGCACCCTCCGCCTCCACGTTCTCCTCCAGGCTTCATCTTCCCTTGAGCGCCGCTTCTCTTGAGGCTGCATCAGCCCTGGGGCATCCTGTCTCACACCAAAGCCGCTTCTGGCCGCTGGCGCCCCGCTGGCATCCTCAGGCCCCATCTACCCTGGACGCGCCTTTCCCTCCCTAAGCTGCACCTGCCTTGAGCGCCTTCCTCCCAAAAGGTCCCACCTGTCCTGGGAATACCTCCTCTCCTGGTAGGCCCTTCTTCCCCACAGGCCGCACCTGTCCCGGCCACCAACTCCCGAGGCTGCGTCGGCCCCAGCTCCGTCCTCACCCTGAGGCTGCACCCGCAGCACGCTCTTCCTCCCTAGGGCTGCACGCGCCGCGGATTCTTTCTTCCGGGCTCTGTCGGCCAGACGCCGCACCTGCCCGGGCCGGAACCCCGCCCCCGGCTCCGGCAAGGCTTGGACGCCCTCGTCCCGCACTGACTCTCCCGAGTCCGGGCTGGGCTGTCGTCCCCGGTGTCCCCAAACGTACCCGCGTTTCTCCGAGTCCAGGCAGAGCCGCTCCCGGCGCCGGGCAACGCCTCGGAACCGTCCTACTGGGCCGACGGTTGGGGGTGAGGCCGCTCAGCACTCCGCACCGCCCGCCGCCGTGCTCGACGTTCGATTCACCGCGCCTGCGGGGTCCGGGGGGTAGCAACGCGCGTGCGCACTGGGCGAGGGTGACGCGCGTGCGCAGCGGGCGAGAAGCAGGTGTGAAACGCGGGAGTTCGCCTCCCTCGGGTGCTACCGCTTTGTGTGCCAGGATTTCTGTGTACTCTAAGCAGACATGCAGCTTTTTAAAAGCGCAGTGGGCTCCCACCCATCTTCTGCTCCTTGCTTTTTCATTCCATCTGGCGCGATCTTAAATCTGCGTCTGCACAACGGCATTCTGCCGGCGCGACAGTTTGCTCCTAGTTCTTTTCTTTTTTTTTTTGAGACGGAGTTTCGCTCTTGTTGCCCAGGCTGGAGTGCAATGGCGCGATCTCGGCTCACCAAAACCTCCGCTTCCCGGGTTCAAGCGATTCTCCTGCCTCAGCCTGTCGAGTAGCTGAGATTAAAGGCGCCCGCCACCACGCCCGGTTAATTTTTGTATTTTTAGTAGAGACGGGGTTTCGCCATGTTGCCCAGGCTGGTCTCGAACTCCCGACCTGAAGTGATCTGCTCGACTGGGCCTCCCAAAGTGCTGGGATTACAGGCATGAGCCACCGCGTCCGGCCTTAATTTTTTGAGACGGGGTCTCGCTCTGTCGCCCAGGCTGGAGTACAGTGGCAGGACCACGGCTTGCTGCAGCCTCGACCTCTCTGCCCCAACCTCTCTGCCCCAAGCGATCCTCCCTCCTCGGCCTCCAAAGCAGCTGAGACCACAGGTGCGTGCTCCCACACCCATGGGCGCTCCTAGTTTTCTTGCCAAAAAAACATCGATGCCACGAATCTGCTTGCACATACATCTAGTGAAATGGCTGAGGGTAAGTGCATTTAAAAAGCACCTAGGGCCGGGGGCGGTGGCTCACACCTGTAACCCCAGCACTTTGGGTGGCCGAGGTGGGAGGATCGCGTGAGCCCGCGTGAGTTCCAGAAGAGCCTGGGCAACATAGGGAGACCACGTTTCCATAAAAAAATTGCAAAAATTAGCCGGGCCTGTTGGCGTCTGCCTGCAGTCCCAGCTACAAGGGAGGCTGAGGCAGGAGATTGCTTGGGGTAGGGAGGCCGAGGCTGCAGTGAGCCTTGGTCTCACCACTGCACTCCAGCCTGGACTACAGAGTGAGACCCTGTCTCAAAACAAAAAACAAAACCAAAAAAAAAAAAACCCCGGACATGAGTGGGGGCTGCAAGACCATCAGAGGCTCCAGTGGGGGCACCTCCCCTCAACTCCGTGGCAGAAGACTGGAGGCTTCTTCCTCCCTTCCCAGGGCTCCTCCTCCTTCTCCATCAGCCTCTCCAGCCCCCTGTGCTCAGGGTCAAGAGCCTTCCCAAAGGCCTGCTTTGGGGCAGACATGGTACTTTTGGTTGGGTGAATGCACCCCTTCCCATGTTTTCCCTGGAACAGTCGGCACCCAGAGCAGGGTAACTGACAGCAACGCAACCAGGCTGATGGATCACTCTTCTCAGCCTCGCTGCTTCTTGATCTCCTGGTCTATTTGTATGTTAATCTATGCAGACCAAAAGGACACACTGCAGGTTTAATAACCTTAATTACGGTTCTTGGCTGTCTGCAAGATTTTTTTTCCATGTTGGTCAACATAGCATTAGATGACGCCAGTTGAGAATTTAGTGGTTACTTCTTTATGGCTTACCCTTGAGGGGTTATGTGACTCACCCAAGATCCCACAGAGAGGGAAGGAGCTGGGGCTCACCTGTGTTTGTGGCCAGAGGCTGCAGGCAAACTGTGTTTACAGTGGGCAGGGAAGGTTCCCTGGGCCCCAGGAGGGAGTGGGGCTGGCCTGTTGAGCTTTGGTTCATGCCATGCTAACAGTGGTGGTGCCTCAGGACTGAGAGCCTCCATCTTGCAAGTCCCCAACCTCAGGACTAGCTTCCTTCAGGGCCCGTCTCCCTTTGAGATTTTCTGAGCCACCTGTCCCTAGGGAGCAGTGAATCAGGGCAGTGAGTGTGGCTGGTTAAAGCCGAGATGCCTGTGCCCAGGTCCCCAACTCTCTTCCATAGTCAAAAGGCTTAGAAGGAAGTTGAGGGATTGGTGTTTCTCACGGAAACAGCGTTTAATTTCTTGGAGGTAATTTATTTCTTAGCTGGTTCTAGGCACTAAGCTAAAAGCTACTGGTGACTTTGAATCTGCACTACCCCGTGAGGTCGATACCATTACAGTCTGCATTTTATGATTAAGGAGACTGACTCTTTCCCCAGGTCACACAGTGAGGCAATGGCAAAACCGAGAACTGCTGCCTCAACTCATTCTTACCTTTTAGTCTTCGCTGCCGCAGGCCTGGCTTGGCTTGCTCCTTCCCCACCCCAAAGCACAGCGTAATCCTCCTCCACTTCCTGCAAAAGCACTGCTGGAAGTGACACCACCACACACCGCATCAAATGCTTACCTCCTCTGACCAGCTCATTTCTCATGGCAAGTGATGGGGCCGCAGGCAGGCTCTGCACACAGCCAGATGCCATCCGTGGGAAGAGAGTGGAGAGTGCTTGATGCTGCAGCATTTGGAAGATGCTTCTTAACCACGGGTTTCAATCCCTTCTCTACCCATACAGCTTCTGTTAAGGCATTTCGGCCGTGCCACTCCTAATTTCCATGTGAACTCTGTAAAATTAGAACTCTTTGATGTGTGGTTCTCTCTGGTCAAATTACCAAGAAAAGAGGGATGTACAACCTGAGAAAGCATGTTCAGCTTTATCTTTTTTAACTTTTTTTATTTAAATAAGGAGAATTCTTTCATATGGAAAGAGCTAGTACAATCACATATTTGAAAGGAGAAACAATAGGTACTGAACCGGAGGGAAAGGGCGAGGGTTTGAGTGTGCCAGCACCGGCCTGGTGAATCCACGATTCCATTTCCCATCCAAGGTAAGTTTCCCGAAATAACGTCTAAACAAGCTGCACTTATACCTCTAGCCATCGTCTGCCCTTTCAAATATCTGGTCTACATGGAAAGACAAAGAGGAAAGGCCAAAACATAAACAAAAGGAAACAGAACAAAACACAGCCCTCTCAGGAACCAAACAAAAACCCCCAAATCCTTTTTTACTACACAAGGCATGAGGTCAAAAGCTTAAGAGTACAGTGTCCCCTTTAGATCATGGGAGAAAGGCGTCCGCACAGAGCCTTAGCAGGAATTTCCACTCCAAGGCTCCAGAACATGCTGAAGATGGGGCTCTGGGGGTGCCACTACCATCCTGGAGGCCACCAACTGGGGTAGAGACAGTGAAGAGCAGGTCTCACGTGCCCGAAGACCACCAGCCAGATATACACTGGTGGCCCTGGTGGAGCGTGGCGGGGCAACAGCGTCCATCTCCAACACCAAGCCACTCCTGTCCTGGATGACTTCCTGCTTCGGTCCGTCACATTTCAGAAGAGAGCTGGCTTTCTGGAAGCCTGTGTTTCCCATTCATCACAGAATATGACAGAGCACACACACTCTGGTATCCTTGGTCTTCAAAGGCCATTTCCAGCAGACCCTCTTACCTAGGCTTGCTCTGCAGGAAGTGAAAAGGGACAAATGAAGATTTGAGGGGCAGCCTGCAGTTACTTGGCAGAGGGGAACCAAATGGCAAGGGAGCAGGCTCCACCAGAGCTGCCATGCTGCCGCAGCAGGCCAGGCCACAGCACGGCCGTGCACCTGTGTGCGCTCAGCTTCCAGAAGGCGTCACTGACCATCCGGAAGGCAGATCCATTAAGATAGGAGGGCGGCAGCTCGGCTGGAGAGCACTGATGTCAATGTTTAACAAGGTACCCCAGTGTCCCTAGAAGTGGCTGGAAGGACCACAGCTTTGGAACTGAACTGATTTTCTTGAATGTGAAATAAAGTCATCCTTTGTTTTCCCCCTTAAGGAACCTAGAGCCAGAGTATCTATGAAATCCAAGTTTGAAAACAATACAAATGTTTAAAAAAAAAAAAAAAAACTGGGGGGAGAAGCCAACAGTGAAGAAAACCAAACCGAATGCAGCTGGCATTGAAGTCCCCAGTGGGTGGATGAGCATTTCAGATGCACACCCACACTCTGGACTTCATCCCACTCTAGCGGACAGTGGACAAATACCACCGCAAGGCCACTGGTTGCTAAGCAATGGGCCGCACCCCCGATGGCAAAGGCAGAGCTGCCAGCATCGGGAAGAGGGCAACTTGAGCAGGCAAAAGTGAGTGGGTTCTGACCCCCCACTCAGCAGCAGAAAAGGCAAGCGCTGGTCTCCACCTGTTCCCACCAAGGCCCCGTGGTATCCTGGCAGAAGCCTCTGCATGTATCTGCGCTCTGAAGATGGGGGTTTGAAAACAAAATAAGACCCTACGTCCTACTACCTTGAGCTTGGCTCTAAAACCACGTGAAAGGAAGAGATATATTGCACCTTAAAACGTCTCTGCACTAAGAACTGCATTTAATCAGACCAAGGAGGGGTAAGGAGGGGTTGGGGCGCTGGGAGGCCTGAGGCCTGCCCTCAGCCCCCAGTCTCATTTAAAATCTGCATCTCAGCGAAGAGACTGCAGCTCAGGTCACACAGAGGTGGTGACTGCACCGAACTTCACATGCAATTTCCTGGCCTTTCCTGCACAGAATTAATTCAGACATTATATATAAATAGAGCAGTGAAACATTTACTTCTTTTTTTTCATCTAGACCTACAACATCAATACATATAAATAAATTCTAGTGTTTTTTGTTTTTTTATTTGGGGTCGGGGAGAAGGAAGGAAGGAAATACCGGGTAAGAGAAAAGGGCTGGAGAACAGGTGACCTTTTTGTTTTTATTTTTTCTCAAACAGCAAGTACTGTGGGTCTGATGCCAGGTTCACCTGAAGGGTATATCTTTTTAACAGCATCCGGGAGGCTTTTTCTTTCGACAAATCATACGCACCACCGCGTCAGGTGGGAGGGGTCTCACCATGTGGCTCAAGTGTCCAGGTGGAGATGAATGTGTGGCTCCCGCAGGCCTGGACTCACCCAGGAATGGCTTGGCAAGGGGGGCGGATAGGGACAAAGAGGGCTCATCCCAGGCCCCACAAGCAGCCGCTTGCAGTGGGAGAAGGGAAAGCAGACACGCAGCTCAGGTAGGGAATGCCCGGAACTGTCAGGTGGACAGCC